TGTATGCATATTGTGTATAGGCATATGTGTATGTGTATGTATGTATATGTGGGCAGCAAAATGGCCCAGTAGATAGAGTGCCAGCCCTGGAGTCAGGAGGACCTGAGTTCAAATTCAGCCTCAAATACTTATTAACTATGTGACCCTGAGCAAGTCACTTAACCCTGTTTGCCTCAGTTTCCTCATCTGTGAGATGAGAAGGAAATGGTAAACCACTCCAGTATCTTTGCCAAGAAAACCCCAAATGGGGTCACAAAGAGTCAGACACAACTAATCAACAAAACAACAAGAAACCAAGCTATATATACCTACGTATACATATCCACACATACCTTCACTTGGTATATTTGCCATGATGATTGCAAACACCTTTGGCACATGTTTTTCCCTATTTTATGCCTCATTTAACATTGTACAGCAAGCCTCAAATTATCAATACTCTTCTCTGGTTACATTTATTAAGAAATTTGTATGATATTAATGTATTAATTGTCTATTAATAGAAAAAAATCTTGTTGGAGGAGAGCCCTTATAAGGCTGTATTTTGCACTGTCAAGTAAAATGTTGGAGGGTTGGTTTTTTTTTTTTTTGTAATTATCAAACAAGATTTTTTATATTTTTTTATTGGTTACATGATTATAAATTATAGGATTTTAGATTTTGAGCTATAAGAGACTTTACAGGCCTGCTAATCCAACTCTTCCATTTTATATTTGAAGAACTGAAGCCACAAGAGGTTAAATGACTTGCCCAAAGTCACACACATGTAGTAAGCAGCAGGATTGGGATTTGAACTCGTCCTCTCACGTCAAATCCAGCATGCTTCCCACTCTCCTACACTTCCTCTAATAATCATCCACAAAATCTTGCCTGTTTCTTCCTGAGACTTTCATCAAGGAGATGCTGCATATATGCACAGAACATTCTCATAAAGATTTGATGAAAGTGAGAAAGTCAGCATATAGGATAGCCCTTTTTGGGGGGGCAATGATGCAATTTGTGATTTTTTTCATTCTTTTGGAAACTTCCTGTCCTTGAGAGATCATAAAAAATAAAATTCCTTGGTAGCTTCAAAACAGTAAAGATTTCTTCTTGTATGTCTTTGGTCATATCAAGGTATTCTTCTCAAGTTCCTTTTCCTGAGTGTTGTTTCTACTTCCTTGTATAAGACAGTGGGTAACAAGGCATTAGGGTCCAAATATATTGGTGGCTCTGTGGTCACAAACAATGAGACTAGATTACTATAGAAATACTAGAAGATCAGCTCCCTTTCACATCTATTGTCCTTTGAATTTCATCTATAAATTCTCTTGAAATGTTATGGTCTGATTGGATTCTCTGCCAAACTTTCTAGAGACTTCTCTTCCTCTCCTTTCACATTTTGTGAGATGATATTATTTTCTTTAAGTTTCATTGAAGCTTTTTGGGTTTTTTTAATATCATAGCCATTTCTGGATATACATTTCTCCCTTCCTATGCAAGAAGCCTTCCTTTTTAAATAAAGAAAAAAAAGTTAAGCAAAACCAACAGGTGTCTTTGACATCATACAAAATATTCCAAAACCCTAAATCCTAACTCCTTCATTTAAAGGAGTTAAATTTTTTTTCCTTGCTCTTTTATAGAGCCAAAATTGGTCATTATAATTATACGCATTCAGCTTTATTTTATTGTATTTTTTTTACTTTTTATTGTTCTTTTTTATTTACCTTGTAGTCATTGTGTATATAATTTTTCAAATTCTGCATCAATTCCTACAAGTTTTCCCATATTTCTTTGTATTCCTCTTCTTCCTTGTTTCTTAACAGTACGAAAATGAATCATTCACGTAGGATAATTTACTTAACCATTCCTTAATCAGTGGATATGTATTTTATTTCCAGTTGTTTGCTAGTACAAAGAATACTTTTCATAAATATTTTCTTATGTTCGGGACCTTTTTTTCTTTTACTTCCTTGGGGTATCTGTTCAGTAACGAGATTTTTGGGTCAATCGCTCATGATCTTCTTCATTTCTGTCTGTTACGTTTTGCAAACGAAATTTTTTTTTTCTAAACTAGTATTGTCTCTGGCTACTGTATCTCTCCATTTGTAAGAGGATCTAACATTCTCTGGTGAAGACATTTTCTGGGTTTTTATGGTATCCTTGTTATGGGAATTTGTTTTATATCAGTTAAATTTTCATAAGAGTTAATGATAAACAGTTTAATGGTAAAATGTTTTTTACATATATCCATTTCCCCTTTTTCATAATCAATACAGTTTTTTAAGATAGGTCAGGTTGGAGCCATTTTAATTGCACTAAGTGTCTACTCATCTTGTGTTTGTGTGTTGTGGAAAGAGCACTGGTCTTGGAATTGGGAGAGACATGAGATTAAAAGCTTATACAAGATTAAAATCTTATGGCCATATCATTTAGCTCCTCCAAACCTCAGCTTTCTTATTTGGAAATTGGTGGTGGTGATATGCGTATAACTTTCCGAACAAGGTTGTTATGAGAATCAAATGAGTTCATGTATATAAAATAGTTGGTGTATCTTAAATCACTGCATTAATGTTAGCTATTATTGTCTTCTAACTTTATGTAAGCTTTGATCTTTGTCCTAACTAGTCATTAATTCTAGTACACACAGGTAATTACAGAATTGTTCCTCTGACCCCAATCATTTGTTTTCTCTCTGTTGTTTCCTCTCATTTTTAATAATTGAGTTCAGCATCTTCCTCTTCTCTTCTTGAAGAATATAGTCATGATATATATAGGGTTGTGTCCAAGGCCTTTTGAATAGTTTACAAGCCTTTGGCTTCTATTTTTTTTAATCCTGAAACATCTTTTGCCATCCTTCCTCTGTGCCTGCCATTGCATTAAGGCACCAGGAATTAAAGGGTATGTTCTATGTTGGTATCTAAGCTCTAGCTCTCATTGTGCTTGGTTCCTTCATGAGCATTGAGAGGTTGGTGAGATGACCAAGTGTCTGAGGAAATGATTTTTCCTGTTGCCTTTGAAATCAAATAGCTTAAGGAGCTCAAGACTGAGAATGAAAGTCACTTGGGCCTGTTTCAACAAGATGTACTATTTGCTGACTTTAGTTATTGTTAAAGGCTGTTAAAGGGTCCCCTGAACTTGTGATTTTGAGTTGGCATATTTTCCAGAAACACTGGACCCAGAGCATGCAGGAGGCCCTGAATGAGCTTTGTCAAAGCTCCCACTGAGAAGACGTAATTTGTTGTTTACACCCCAAGCTGGATTCCCTGTGTGTCCTTAGGAGGCAAGACAGGCTCCAGCTAGTCTCTGCTAGGCTGGGAAAATGGTTGTGCAGCTGGGGTCCTTTGCAGATAAGTGGTCCCTCCTATTTTCATAGTCTAGTGGTTTCCATGGGAAAAGAATGCAAATGCAGCTTTGGCCATAGCCTTGCTCTTCCCCTTCCAGAGGGCTTTTGTCCTTTTTTCCTAGCTTTCCTGCACCTTTCCCCTCCTGTACCACACTCCTTCCTGTTTTCTCCTCCTCCTTTTGTTGTACTGTCATAAATATGCAAACTTCTGTAAGGATTGTGAACTCTTTGAATTCCACATGCATGTTCATTTCTCTTATGATAAACCTAGTTGTGATTGCTTGTTGATATTATGCCTACCGGGGCCATTAAGCATTGTAAGGGAAAGTTGAAATATACCTTTGTTCTTACTAAAGACGTAATGGGTGCATTAGAAAGAATGCTAATCTTGTAGTCAAGAGTTCTGAATGGGAATCCCTTGATCTAACACACAGTGTATGACTTTGGGCGAATTGCTTCACCTCTTTTCATCTGTCTCTCCATCTCTCGGATTTGGGTAAGGATGTTTATACCACCTACAGCTAAGAATGGTTGTTAGGCAAGTTCTTCATGAGTCTGACAAATCTATGCAAATGTAAGCTGTTTTGGCATTCATAAACTACTCTGCTAGAAGTGGTTCTGTCACTGCTGCTGGAAGGCAAGGCTTTGCCAGTGTTCTTTCTCTTGGAAGTTGACAGCATTCTTAGTCAGGCATTTATAAGCAAATGGGTAGTGAAACTCAGAGGGACTGTGATGTATATGGGGAACACTAATACATTCCTGCTGTCAATATGGTAAACTGCCTCTTTGATAATTGGGAAGGTGGTCTTATTTTCTCCATAATTTTTCTTAAAGCATTATATTGATATATTCAGTATTTAATGCTTGTTGAATTAAATAGTAGTCTTCTTTAACTTGACATATCCCTTATGGCTTAGTCAATATTCTCTTTTGTATCATGGTTATTTATAGGTGTCAACCTTCCCTAGCAAGATTATAAACTACCTGAGGACAGAGACTATCATATTTTTAGCAAATCTTTATATTCCATAGAGACTATAGGACAAAGGCCTTGCAGATTGCTTGGTAAAGGGTTTTTGTTGGAGGAATAACTGTAGGGTTGACAGTGGAAATCATACATTGTTATTCCACTATCTTAGGTTTCCTCAAAGGACAGATCAAAACATTTCTTCGGGTCATCTGTATGACAATGTAAGTATTTCATAGTCTTTGCACATAGTAAATGCTTAATAAATATTTTACTCATTCATTCATTCGTTAATTCATAATCCTAGTCCAAGTGTTCAGATTCAGGTCCAAGCATTCAGCAGTCCCTCCTGGTCAAAATGGGGGAGGGGAGGAAGAGACACACACACATATACACACACAGACACACACACACACACACACACACACACACACACCAAGTTATTGAGAAAAATGTTTTGGTCAACATGCGGACCTTCTGTGGCCCTGTCCATTTCAATTCTTTTTTTTTTTTTCTTTTGCAACTTCTATTTTGTTCTCAGAAAAAAGAGGCAAGACTAGGAGGCTGGAAGAGATGACACCTTTCACCATAGCCCATATTGTTATTGATTTATTTCTCAAACTAAGAGCAATTATTTCAATGGGGACATCTCTCTTTGGGCTTAATTATTTTAAAAAACAAACGAACAAACAAAAAATTTCCCTATACCTTGCAATCTGTTTTCTCCTTCCTTTTCCCCCTCAGACAACTGGTCTGGTCTGACTTGAGAATAACATGATACCAGAGGGTAGCCATAAGTAGTGGAGGTGGTTATAATTTACAAACAGGAGTCAATTATTAATTACCTAACTGGTGACAGTACATAGAACCCTAGTAATAAAAATAATAAAAAATACTTCATACTTAAGTTGAAAATTACATCAGAGAATCTTGATCCATTACACTCTGTTCTGTACTGGTTTCTTTGTCTACTTGTCCTATCTCCTTTAGATCGTAACACATTTAAATCCAATCCTGATGCAGCCAGTCAACCTTCAGGCTGGCCATGCTGGACCTTCAAGCCATAGGCCTCCAGCTCCGTCTAGCAATCAACGAGGTAACTGAGACTTTAAAATTTGCTTCTAAAATGGATCATTCTGGACTGTATCAACTTGAGTTCTGAGCACAGGGAACCTAAAACATTAGGAAAATATAAACTAGCAACTGTGTATCCTTCAAGTGGCAATTTTAAAATTCCACATTCTTCCTAATTTGAGTTACATGAGATTTACTTTGTAATAAATGTCAAATTCCACTGACAAATTTCAACGGACTACCCACGTTATTTTGTTATATGGAATTTGGTTGACTGTTTTGATTGCATTACATAGGGTGTCTGTAATTATCAATGCCATATTAGAATTGGCTTGTATTGGTGGTTTTAAATATAAAAAAAGAATGCTTATCCAATTCTCTGTTACAAAACACGGTTTGCGTTTCTTTCTCTCCTTGTTTCCTAAATGTATAGCAGGGAATGATCTTCCGCCACCCTATTATTATGAGGTAATGGAGTTTGACCCTTTGGCTCCAGGTGCCGCTACCGAGTAAGTTTTTCTAAAAACCCTTCATTCATTTTTTGTGTCTCCTCCCTTTAACAAGATAGTCTATAGGACTTGGTGATGGGTTTAATTTTGCTTAGGTCTTGGTGAAATTTGATGGCATAATTAAAAATGACTTATCGCCTCATTTAGAGGCTGTTTGAGATTTAATGTTCATGTAGTTCTCAACCCTGTGACTTACTTGCAACCCCTATTTTTTTTTTAAAGTTATGAAGTAAAGTGTGTATTAATGGGCTACTTACTAGTACATGAAATCTAGGCCTTTTTTGGCCTGAGAAAGGGCACTTTCAAGTGAATTAACAGTAGTTGGCAGTTTGATAGCCCTAGGTAAAGTTTAGTAATTAAAAGATGTTTCCAAAATACAAAAAGTTCTTAGGTTTTTTAAGGGTCTAGTTTTTTTTTTCTTTATCCCTAATAGGACATGAATACTTTAAAACTTGTTTTAGTCTACTGACATACAGCAGTATTGTTAGATAACTAATTCATTAACCACAATGGCACAATAGCAGAGCTTTAACTGGTATGATTGGAGTATTTATTTAATTTTCTGATTAGATGGGAGTTAACTCAAAGATTCTCAACAAGAATGACTGAAATAATGTTTTGGGGTTTAAACTTTGATTTACTTACAACTTTTATAAAATATACTTCCTGGTGACCCATTACCCCAAATATAGACCTTTCATTTGGAAGTATGCAGTTAATTTGGTGTTTTAATATAATTAGACATAGCCATGTAATGGGATGAGACAAATACAGAAATAAAAGCAGGATAGATGAAATCATTTCTAGAAAAATATGACTTGATTTAAAAATGTACATATATGCATGGGTGTGTATATTATATATGTGTGTATATATGATCATGTAATTAAAAACAGCTATCTACAATACGGATTCTTAAAATGGGGTCTGTGAACTTTTAACAATTTTTTTGATAATTCAGTATAATTGGTGTTTCCTTTGTAATCCTCTATATTTTATTTTGTGCATTTTAAAACATTATTCTCAAAAGGGATCCATAGATTTCATCAGTCTGTCAAAGAGGGTCCGTGACAAAAAAAGTTACAAACCTTGATTAGAACATTAAAATATCAAATAGTATGAATAAGCAAGGAAAATCACTTAATGTAAATTCCATGAGTTGGAGAAGAGTTCAATTTTATTAAAAAAAATGGTTTTAAAGACAAGTTTGGTCTATCCAGCCTAAAACAGAAAACAAGTAGATAATTTAATTTTAAAAGCTTTCATGTTCTATTTTAAAATCACAACAAATAATGTATAGTCAATTTAGTAGCTAATTTTAGCCTCTTAGATTTACAGTTTCAAAGATTAACTCCTACACACATTTCATTGTGACTAAAATGAATAAATTTTTGTTTAATATACCAATAGTTTTCACTTTTTAGTTAGTAAAATGAAATTGAAAAAACCATGGCTTTTCTGTTTGCAGAGCTCTTTATGAAGACATTGATGCTAAATGCTATAAACCAATTCAGAATCACACAAACTGTTGAAAGGTAAGTATTTCAATTTGTTGGGATAATTTGTTACATTCCTTAAGTGTCAGTAGCTTGGGCAGCTAGGTGGGACACTTTATAGTGTGCTGGGCCTGGAGTCAGGAAGACCCTAGTTCAAATCCTGCCTCAGACATGTCCTGGTTGTGGAACCCTGGGCAAGTCACTTACCTGTTACATGCCTCAGTTTCCTCATCTGTAAAATGGGGGTAATTTTTTAAAAAATAAAGTGTCAGCACATGAAATATAAATGTTACTTGCTTAATCTCTCAAATTTATTAGAGACTTGAGATAGTCAGTAACTAAAGTGAAACCTTGGCTACATTCGCTACAACTCATTATTTAATCAGAATGTACTAATTTACACGTTATTTTAATACCTATTAACATCAATATATGAACGTTGACATTCATAGATTGTTAATATGTGTTAATACTGATAATTAATGTTGATATTAATATATGTTTAACATCAATATTAATATATATTAACATCAATATTAACACAAACTATATAGTCCAATGGCAGTGTCAGAGTTTGATCAGAGGCACAGGAATTTACTTACAACTTTTATAAAATATATTTCCTGGTGACCCATTACCCCAAATATAGACCTTTCATTTGGAAGTATGCAGTTAATTTGGTGTTTTAATATAATTAGACATAGCCATGTAATGGGATGAGACAAATACAGAAATAAAAGCAGGATAGATGAAATCATTTCTAGAAAAATATGACTTGATTTAAAAATGTACATATATTCATGGGTATGTATATTATATATGAGAAGTACAGGAATGCTTCCTGGGATGACAGAAAAAAGGAAAGTTAAGTGCTTTATTATAAGAGATGGTTCTCTAGAAGGAGAGATACAGGGACAAATTTAGGTGATATAAAAGCAAAAGATATCAATAAAAATCTTTTTTAAAAGGGAAGGTTATGGCATAGAAGAGCATACCGATGTAAATGATAGAAGTTCTTTAGCATGTAGAACTTAGTTATCCTTTATTGACTGGCTTCTGCTCCTTAGTAACATCACAGTCCAGGTGCTATTCCTTCTTGTAGTTCAGTCATTTTCAGTCACGTCCAACTCTCTGTGACCCCATGTAGAGTTTTCTTGGCATCCATTCCTTTTATCTCTTAGTTAATATCACAAAGCAGAGTAAAATTCACAATAATACTTTGAAGGTCAATTGTAAAAAAAAATCTTGGGGTTTATTTTTTTTGTTTCTATAAAATTCCTGCCCAGCCACCTTAGGCTAGTGATCATTTACCTAGTAAAGAGTGTCACAAGTAATAAACTTCCTCTTTCACAAAGTAAGTTTTTAAAAGATAAGTCTAAAAGATTGCATAAGTTTAATTGGTAATATGCACAATTCCTGAAAGAGGTTTAATGCTCATTAAAGGTTTGTGGATATATGCCATTCTCTAACCACCTTTAATATAGGTAAAAAAATTGTCATTTAGCATTTTAACTTTTTTTTTTTGCAGATCTTTTTAGAGAAATCCATCATCATCATACCCCTGTGATACAGTAGATGAAAACTATTTTATTACTTCTTGAATAAATCATAAAACATTTGATAAGCTGGAACTGTAATTCAGGAAAAATATTGTTTAAGTGCCTTCACTTAATTAAAATTGAATGTAAAAATAATTTTGCACTTCTGAAAATATTTCTGGCTTTTACATTTTGAGCTAGGGCATAAAAGCATTTAATTATTGTAGTTTACATTTCATGTTTGTAACAGTCATTAGAAAATATATAAAGTTGACTTTTTAAATGATTTATAACCTTAAAATAAAATATATTCTTTTCTTTTTACTGTAAGATGTATCCTTTGTAGAACAAAAATTTTGTTCATAGTAAATACACTGAAATTATACATCTGTGTTATAAAGGTAAGTAGTATTAAAGGAAAAGTAGACAAAAAGAAGTAATATTAAAAATAATTTAATATGTAAGTTAACATCGCCTCTTCACAAAAGAGTTTTTGATGCCAAGAAAAAGCACATAGTACCATACAAACAGTGAGATGTTAGTATCCACGTGTTTGGAACCCTCACTATAAATGTAATCTGGTAGAAATATACTTCATTTCTAATTAACAAGGTCATTCTTCCCATACCAATTACTTCAAAATTAAAATACGTAAGTATTGCACACATAAAATAGCAATTGAATTTAATGGGAAAAAAATAATTTAAAGAGCTTAAATTTCAAATCCTACATTTGCTCTTTGTACTGAATTAGACTGTAACCCTTTTGCTTCTGTACACTGACCATGCAATGAGAATTTTAAAAAGACTTCATAGGGTTATTAGCTTAGCCTGAAAGTTACCACAGGCCAATGGACCCAAAGCCTCTGAAGTAAGAATCCAAATAAAAGTAGAAAAATATTTCTCAATTCTTAGATAAAGTACTACTCTGGGGAAAATTATCATAGGGCAACAATTTTGGAACTGATTGACCACGCTTCTTTTTGATTCATTTTGAATAATGATGTATCTGCCATTTTAAAGGTCACTGACTTCAGAGACAGATAAAAAACAAAACAAACTAGTAGCAAAATACATTTCAAGATGGTCATGATGACATAATGAAAAGATCTGGCTGGTGGGAGACCTGGGTTCTAGCCACTAACTAGCTGTGTAATATGTTAGGCAAATCATTTCATCTCTCATGGCTTCAGCATCTTTATCTTTAACAGAAGAAGTGAATGAGATGATCTATTAACACACCATTTTAGATCTAAAAACAGCTATGGTACTTATGCGACTTTAGCAGATCATCAGCTCCATACCTGCATGCTTATGGAATTGAGCAGATTTTTCTTTTTTTGATATACCACCCCCAAAAGAGAATAATTTGAATATTATTTTACAAATATGCAAATATGGTTTTAAATTGAATTTTGCACCCAGATTTTTCTTCAGTGTTATCTCCATTCTTAGAGTCTCATATAGACTAAAAGATTAAAAAAAAAAAGTAGTTTGCGAGAAAAACATTACAAGTACATGTGATTCTGGTTTAAAATAAAAATTGGCTTTTCCCACTAATATCCCTCTTTCAAAAAGACCTGAGAACATGATTTTTCAAAAACTTATAAAACTGAGACACAAGAACTAAGGGCAAAGGAAAGATACTTTTCATTTCAATTATAACCTGGGACTGGCAATTTATGTCCTTCTTTTGCTTCAAAAAACGTATAAGAGAGAGTGATCACGTCAACTTTTGCCATTTTTGGATCTTCAGCAAATTCAGGATCAATGAAGAAAAATACTGGCATGTCTACTTCCTCTTGAGGATTAAGCCTTTGTTCTTCAAAACAGAAGCACTAGAAATTGAAAAGGAAGAAAGAATTAACTTTTCTACTTTTACAGCTATATAATTCTAAGATCCACACTGAAAACAGTATTCCAATTTATTTTTGTTACTTTATCACCCTAGGATAAGATACAATTTCGAAATTTGATGGACTACTGGCCAAACTTGGATTTAGATAGCTACGGCCCTTTGCCATGAGAGCTTTAAGTTGCTCTGGAGGTCAATCATTGAAAATCTTGAACAAGTAACGCAGGTGGAAAAACCTCAAAGCTTTGAATAAATTTATGCTTCTATTTTTGGAGTAGTATGACTTTCAAGATTACGTTAATTTTTTCTTTTTTTATTTCTTTTTTAGTTTTTTCTTTTTTTATGTTAATTTTTTCTTAAACCATCCAAAATATAGTAACAAATTTAGTGAGATGGCAGTTATGCTATCTATACCTTATTATGAGTTTTTATTTAGCATACCTGTATTTTATTAAAATACTGTCCAGCTTCAAATGGCACAACATTATACGTAGAAATTCCAATTACTGGTTTGTCAGTAGGATTTTTAGCTTTGTAAAATGCCAGTGCAGTCTCTCCTGGTACCACCTGTTTTGAAGAAAAAAGAAATATATGTACTTTGTCTACAATTTAACTTTTTGGCCCTCAACTGCCTATCAGTTTAATCATTTATCTCACTGGTCAGACCAACAAACACATAACTGAAATCACAGAATAGGACTTAGAACTGAGAAAGTCAAAAGAAATCAGCTGGTCCAAGCCCTGATTTTGTAGCTGTATAAATGGAGGCCGAGCACAGCTAAGTAAAATGTCAAAGTCCTGAGAGCAGGACTTCAATAACTAATACCTGATAAGACTTGTAAGACCTAAGGTTTGTATAAACGAATATGAAGCACTACCCATAAAAATTCAAATTTAAAACGTGTAAATATCAACAATGAAAACCCCAAACCAAGAATATCATTTTTATGTTCCTCACAGAAACCCTTTCCAATTAAAAAAACAAACCCATTATTATTGTGATTTTATAGATGAGACCCTTGAGATGCCATGCCCACAGTGGCAATAAATGGCAGAGCCAGGATCTAAACCATAAAGTGGGTGATACCACTCCTTGGGGGATGCTGGAACAGTGCGGGGGAAGGAGCAGTAGCAGCTTCAGGTGCAATCAGGGGGCATTGAATGGGGGGGGTGGAAGCATAAGGAAAGAAGAGAAGAAAATTTTGAAAAACCATTCGTATATGTTTCATCTGTTATGTAACAGAGTTAAGGTTGTAATGATTACATTATTTTCCAAACAAAAAAACACAATTTGCAAGTTATAACCAATCAGTGGTCAGGTCCTGCCAACAGGTCTTAACAAGCAAGTGAGCAGGTGAGCCTGTTGCACGTTGTCTGAAAGTCCAGTAGGTGTTGGCAAGAATATGTACATGTAATGAATTGTTTACAGTACTACATGGTTACATGATACAATATTGCATCATCAAAATTTCAATGCAGGAAAAAACCCCAAATTTACAATAAATTCTTAAATTTAAGATACATTTTTTTTTCAAAAATATTTTACATTTTTTTTGAAAGAAAGCAAATTTCAAATAAATAAATAAATGAATGAATAAAGGATTAAAGAAAGTAGATTTCCAGAGGGGCAATGAGTAAATTTTTTTTTTTAAAAAAAGGGGAGGTAGGCCAAATAAGTTTGGGAACCTCTGAATTCTAAACCCAGGTCTCCACCATGCAGACATTGACTCAGTGTCTTCTTACAGACTTGAATTCTTTAAATGTGGATGCAAATTAGCCCATTTAATGTGTGTTCTTTATTAGGTGATTAAGACCAGTGACTTTAAACAAGAGATTACAAGGGATGGGGACTGGATTTGTTGATTTCTTTGGTATAGAGAATTCCCAGATGAAGACACCCCCTTTACCAGTACAGGTCACCACTTCTTTGCAACTTAAGAGAGAGCTGCCTCCATAATTTGCCCAGAGTCACACAGCCAGTCTGGGAAGAATTTGAACCCAGCTCTCTAAGGCTAGCTCTCTACCCAATACGTACATTACCTCTTAAATAAACCATACAAAAGATTTATTTTTAAAAGGAATTTCAAAAGTATGTACTGAAATGGATGCAGATTCCTTCTTATGTCTTCTACATCTACCTTCTAATGAGAAGGATCATCAAGAATCTGAAGCCCTGAAAGGGCCTTAGGTATCCAAAAACAATCTGATTACAAACTTACTAGAGCAGGGCAGGGAGCAAGAATATATTTTAAAGATTTTCTACAACAGTTAAATTCAACATACATTAAGTGCCTTATGTGCAAAGCCCTGTTGTGAAGCAGATATATGGTGCCTACTCTTATGAGACAGAAACATAACTAGTACAAAATTAGGTACATTTGAGAGGTTTAAAAAGAGTTCTCTGTGATGAGTGTATATATAGAAGGGAGATTATTACTATTTAGAGAGGATTCAGGAAAGCTTCTAAGACTCATGACTCAGAGTTAGAAGGGATACTACCTTCATCTAGTTCCAATCACACCTGAGCAAGAACCTTCTCTACAATGATCCTGACAAGCAGCCATATGGCCTTTACCTGAAGAGCTCCTGCACTGGAGAACTTTCTACCTTCTGAGGAAGATAATCTCAATTTTGGCCAGCTCTCTATCATCAGGAAGTTCTTCCTCCTATTGGACCAACATCTGCTTCTTGGCAACCTTCCCCCATTGATCCTAGGTCAATCATTCATTTGTATATTCACTGAACAAATATGATTAAGCGTCTATGTGTGTGGGGCACTGGGCTAGGTACTAGGGAATATAAAAGTTTGGATTAGGCAAGGTTCATGAGGTGTAAAGTACAGTGCGCAGATAGGGAACAAATGCAAATAACTATGACGGCATAAATGAGGTAGAGTTGCCAAAAAAAAAAAAAATGCTATATAAAGTCAGATGTTCCCAACCAAGAGAACTTGGGGCAACACTCTTTGAGCTGGGTAAGAATTCAACAGGTAAAGGGGAGAAAGGGTCATCTTGCACAGGGAATAGTGTTTAGAATGACCAGGCACAGAAGACAGGGTAGACCACTTTTGCTGTAATAATTACTGATATTTATGGGATACTTAAAGGTTCAAAAAGTGCTTAAATGTAATAACTCATTTTACTATTATAACAACTCCATGAGAGAGAACTGTAGGTATTATCACGCGTATTTTACAAATAAGTTTATTAACTAGCCCAAGGTCACACTCAAGTGTCATAAGGTGGGATTCACACTCATGCCTCCCTTGACTCTACTGCCCTAGTTTCTACACCACACTGCCTGTGGAACACAGGTTAAAATGGAAAAGAGCAAATACAGGCCTATCACCTGGTGGAGCAATAGTAGACAAACTAGAAAGAAAGGTAAAGCAGGGCTGGAGTGTGGACTGCCCAAAAGGAAGGACACAACAGGACATCTCAGTGGGATATCCAACTACAAGGCAGCTAGAAATATATGACTAGAGCTCAGAAACAAGGCTAGGTGTACAGACTTGGAAGTTTTCAACAGAGTGAGTTGGAATGAAAGAGACTGCCAAAGGAGAGGATGTAAAGAGAGATGAAGGTCAAGGACAGGCCCTTAGGAAACACCAGCAAATAAGAAATCAGGAAGAAGACAGAGGGTGGTGAAGGAGTGATTAGATAGGCAAGAAGAGCCTCAAATTAACGGAAGAGGAAAAAATATCCATTAAACAGGAGGAATTAATTATGTTAGAAGCAGCAAAGAGGTCAAGGAGGAAGAGGACTGAAAAAAAAAAGACCATATCTTCAGGGTTTCTGAGGACATTGGTGAGGGAGCAGGAAGCTGGATTTCAAAGGGCTGAGAAGACTGGACAATGACAAAATGAAGGCATCTGCAGATAAAGATGGGCCAGTGTCTAGAGTAGAATGATCAAAAAAAGACTGAGATATTAGATATCTGAGCACATTTGGAAAGTAATAGGAAGCAAACTGAAAGAAGGAAATATTGAAGATGCCCTGAGAAAGAGGAGCTGACTTCAGAATCAAGAAAAGGATAAAGGGAATAGGATCATGGACCTATGTAAAGGGCTTAGTGAAGAAGAGTGATACTTCCATTTTCCTGGCCTGAAAAAAAAAAAAGGTAATGTTGCAGCAGGAACTGAGGAATGGAGAAGAGAAACTGGAAGAAACTCAGGCAGGATGCCCTCAATCTCCTTAGAGAAGGCTAAATTCTGTTCAACATAAGATGGGTTTGGGAGAGAAAAGAAAAGGTCTGAAACACACTAAGGAATGAGTGAATCACTGAAGGGATGGAGAGTAGACAGAGTGACACTGAGTCTACATCTCCCTTAAATCTTTTCTCCAAACTAAATAAGCCTAGTATCGCATGCTCTCTAGTCCATTCTCAAACTTATCCACCACATGGCTCAGATATCAGGATGTTAGGGACAGAACTTTTAAGATGGGGTAGAGAAAAGGACAAAGAGTTAGTGAATGGAAGGAGTAGGGGAAGGAGTAAGAGGAGTACCAAGAGACTGTATTGATTCTGAAGCCAAGGGCGATGAAAGTATCTAAAAAGAGAAGATGGTCAACAGTGTCAAATGCTGCAAAAAAAGGTCAGTGGGAGGGACTTTTAAAAAGGTTGTTGGTGACTTTTTTGAGAGCAGTTTCATAAAGTAGTGAGGACAGGTATTGAGGAGAAAGTAGATGAGGAGGAAGTAGAGGCATCATTAAGTGTAAAAACTTCCAAGAAGTTTGGCAGTGATGGGAGGGGGGAGGAGGAGAATAACTGGCTAAAATAAAGTGTCAAGGAAAGGTTGTTTAAGGACCTAGGATCATAGACAACTCACCATGTTTGTGGGCAAATAAGGAGGAGGGAGTAGGGAGGAAGAAACAAGAGGAATGAAAGCCAGCTAATGGTTTTTGGAGGGAAGACCAAGTAAGGGGGATTGAAAATAAAGGGGAAAAAAAGCATTCTGGCTCTCAGTTAAAGAGATTACATAGTTTAGCAAGTATTTTAATCAAGGTTTAATAGCAGTGATACTAAAGCTCATCATGATCATTTCATGAGAATCCAGGAGTTCCTGAAACCTTGATTCACTCAATTCTTGGAAACAATGGTGGAAAAAATGTATGGGGGGGATGGGGAGGAGAGGAGAGAAAGAAGCAGAGACTAGGCAGAGATAAGAAAGAGAGAAACACATTAATGTGATTAATATGGTCATAATTTATAAATATGTAGATGAGTGATTTTCTAAAGACCTGAAATTACTTAAAGTAACAAGAATTCATTTTTGAATTAGTTATTATCTAGTCTAGTCCTACCTCTAATGCTGACCCCTCCTGATGTCCTAGGGAGAGTCATTCCTCTCTGGACTTTAGTTTACTCATTTGCAATATGAGGGGTTTGAATGACAAACTTTTAAGGTTCTTTCTAATGTTCAGCATGGACTATTAAATGTGTCAGTCACTTACATATATTTCTGTTTGTTGAGGCCTAAAATTCCAATGGAGACTTGCATGCACATCTGCGTTGAAGGTGACTTTAATGATTCGATCCTTAACAGGTACCATAGTCTCAATCTGGTCTGAAGCATGACCAGCTACAGGTGACCCACCAAGTCCTGTGGTCTGAGGGAAAAAATTATTATAAAATATATTAAAAACAAGATTTTTATTAAGATTCATCATAATCACGAAACATTCCTTTAAAACATTACCATAGGATTAAAGGACCCCTGATCTAAAGGAGGCAGCTAGGATAGAGTGGTGGGCCTGGAGTTAAGAAGACTGGTCTTCCTGAATTCAATCTGGTCTCAGACACCTACTAGCTGTGTGATTCTGGGCAAGTTACTTAACCCTGTTTGTCTCAGTTTCCTCATCTGTAAAATGAACTGGAGAAGGAAATATCAAACCACTCCAGTATCCTTGCCAAGAAAACCCCAACTGGGTTTACAAAGAGTCAGAAACAGCTGAACAACAAAGATCTACAGCCAGAAGGTACCTCAAAGGCCAAAGAATTTTTTTGGGGGGGGAGGGGAAGGCAATTGGGGTTAAGTGACTTGCCCAGGGTCATACAGTTAAACGTCTGGGTTGGATTTTAACTCAGGTCCTCCTGACTCCACCTAGCTGCCCCCCTACCCAAGATTTCAACCAAGTCTTCAAGTCCCAAAACATGGTTTCTTTCCATCAAATCCCAATGGTGAATTGAACTACTATTTAAAAAATAAGTCTTCAAATGCCTTTAATCATAACTGTGACAGTGCTCTTAATTGCTTCAAAATATATAAACATGCTCTGCTACCATTTTTTGTTACTATCAGTGCACCTTTTAAGATAAGTATGAAATGCCTACAATTACTCTACTTTTAAATGTGGAACATCGTAACTAATTTCTAATTCAGTTCACTGAACAAGGCAGAAGCTAGTACTAATAAACAAAGGGTTTCTGGGGTTTTATTCTAGTGGTCACATCCCTAAGGACCCACTGGTCCAGCCATTTATCCAGTTTTACATCAATCTACTTGTATTCAGTTGAAAGCATTTACTATGTTCCAGGCATTGTGCTAGGCATGTATATAGAAAAAATAAAAGCAAGAGTACTTGTTTTCAAAGGGCATACATTCTAAAGAGAAAACAACATGCATACACACACGTGTGTATGTATATATGTATGTATGTATGTATATCTACAAAACATACAAAGCAGATATAAGATAAGCAGGGGCTGAGAGATAGAAGTACTACCAGGAAGGGCCTTATGCAAAAGGTGGCACTTGAGTTGAATCTTACAGGAAATTCCCAGAGATTTTCAAAGCTGGAGGTGAGAGCAGTTCATTCTAGGAAGAGGTAACAGTCAGTGCAAAGACATGGGCTGTCAAGTGTGAAGAACAGCAAAAACCATAAAATGCACGGGAGTAGTAATGTGTGATCAGGCTGGAAAGGCAGGATGGAACCATGTTTTAAAGAACTTTAAGTAATAAAGAGAAGTTTATATTTGATCCTAGAGGAGACATTGGGGTTCATCAAGTAGGGAGGTGACATGGTCCGACCTGCACTGTAGGAAAATTACTTGGCAGCAGTGGTGAGAAGGAACTGAAGCAGGCAAAAGATATGAGGCAGGGAAGTCGGTTTAGACTAGGTTATCTCAATCGTCCGGAGGAGAGGTGAGGAGGGCCTGAGTGGAAAGTGGTTGTGTGAGTTGAGAAGGGAAGAGATATAAAGAGAAGCTGCAAAGGCAGAACTGACAAGATTTGGCAATTAACTGGGAATGTCAGGTCTCCAAGTCCAGCTGTGCCTCCTAGCTGCCTAATAAGCAGGAGCTGTATCTTCTCTAAATGTCATTTCCCCCAGGGCTCCACACAATGTTCTGCGACAAACACCACATATTCGTAACTTAACCCCCTCTTGCCTTTCCAATACTCTGATTCAGTGAAACTGGCTTCGTGGCTGTTTCAAGAATAAGACACTCCATCTTTTGGCTCCGAGCATTTTCTCTGGCTGTTTATTCCATTCCTGGAATGCTCCCCTGTCTTTGCTCCAACTATTGACTTCCTTGGCTTCCTCTAAGTCTCAATTAAAATCCCACCTACAGGAAGCCTTCCCTAACCCCTTCTTAGTTTTAGTGCTTTCTCTCTTTTAATTATTTCCTATTTATCCTGTATACAGCTTGCCTTGTGTATATTTGGTTGTATGTTATCTCCCCGTTAGACTGTAAGCTTCCTGAGAACAGGGGCTGTCTTTTGTCTCTTTTTGTATCCCCTCAAAGTAAGTGCTTAATAAATGTTTCTTTAACTGAACTTAATGTTTGCTGAATGAATGAAGAATGGTAATACGGACGGGTGTCACATAAGACAAAGGAGGGGAATCTCCTGAACAGGGAGCTGGTCAACAGCATTAAAAGCTTCAAAGAGAATAAACAGTGAGAAAAGCCACTGGATTGAACAACCATAGCTCGCATTCACACAGCGCCTTATTTAAAAGTTTGCAAAGCACTTTACGGAAGTTATCTCATTTGATCCGGACATCGAATGGCAATGAGGGGCAGTTACTTTTTACTCCCATATTACAGATAAGGAAGCTGAGGCCTGGCGAGGCGAAATGACTTGCCTAAGGTCACACAGGTGCGTGGGGGGCCGAGGTGGGATTCCAACCCGGGTCCTCTCCACCAGACCCAGCATCGCTCCCAGGAAGGTCCCTCCCGCTCTGGCCGCAGTTGTCCGGTGCGCAGCTCCGCCTCCGGGCCCGGGCTCCCCGAGGCCGTCCTACCTGGCAGTAGAGGCGGTAAAGGGGCACGGCGGCGTAAGAGGCCCCGATCATGCCCACGGCGGCCGCGGCCACGTACGTGAGCACGGTGCGGTTCCGCCGCCGCCACTCCTGCTCCTGCTCTCGGGTGAACGGGTTCGAGCTCCTCGGTCTCCACGACGGCTGCCGCTGTTGAGGGGCCGCGGCCCGGCCGCCCCACCACCCCCAGCAAGCCTCGAGACGCTTCCAGGAGGGCCGCCCAAACACCGCCATGGCAACCCGGGCAAAGCGCCCGAGCCCCACTTCCGGCCCCGGCTAGCGCGAGATCCGGGCGGGCGCGGGAGTGGCTGTCGGGGCCTGGTGACGTCAGAGTACGGCGTCGGCTGCCGCGGCTTCTCCAACCTTCTCCTGCGGCGGCGGCGGCAGCGGCAGCGGCGGCGGCTCCTCAGGTAGCCTCGGCTTCAGGGAACGCGCTACGGCGGCCGGGCGGCCGGATTGTGGGTGAGTTCGCGTTTCGCTCCCGGGCTCGAGCCCCTCCCCATCCGGCCCCCAAACTCCTAAGCTTGAAGTTTTTCGCGTGGGCTCCTCGCTGCCAGCCCACTCCTCTCGGGTCTGGGGCTGGAGTACCCGCTCGCTGGGAGACCCCGCGGGCATCTTGCACCCCCCCCCACTTAATTACCTCTCCCGACACTAACAGGGAATTCCAGTCCCTGATAATGAAAGGAGGCAGGTGAGAGGGAGAACCTGAGTGTGAATTGCTCCTCTGCCTCTCTCATGCTGTGTGACCTCGGGAGCATCGCCCAGCCTCTCTGGTCCGCAGTTTTCCTAGCTGTACAAGGAGCGACTTGGACTAGGCTAGAAGTTCTTTACCTTTTTGGGAACGATTGTCATGGACCTCCTTTAGCATCCAATCAGTGCGCAGTTATTAAACGCCTACTATGTGCCAAGCGCTGGAGATAAAGAGAAAAACAAACTGCCCTTAAGGAGCTCATAGTCAGATGGCAGCCTGGTGTACCCGGCACATAGTAGGCTCTTAACAAATGTTTGCTGACTTGACTTAAAATCCTATGTATTTTATGAACTTTAAAACCTTGGGGGGGTGGGAAGTTATTAAAATACATAGGATTTTAAGTCAAGTCAGCAAGCATTTGTTAAGAGCCTACTATGTGCCGGGTGCTGTGCTAACAGCTTTACAAATATCCCAGGGAGGTAGGAGCTATCTTTATTCCCATTTTGCAGATAAGGAAGCTGAGGCTGAGAGAGGTTAAGAGAAATGCCCAGGGTCACAAAGCCGGTATTTGTTTGAAGTTAGTATTTGAACTCAGGACTTTCTAACTCCAGGCCCATCCTCACCCCAAGCTACCAATCCAGAAAGACAGTCCCTGCCCCCAAGGAGTTTAGCTTCTAACAGGGGATGACAGCACATAAAGGGAGCTAACTGAAAAGGAAACCAATTATCTTGAAATACAATTATCAAAATACTTAACCCAGGTTCTCCAGGTTAATAACCCTAATTAATAATTAAATTCTATCAACATTTTTTTTCCAGTTAACAGGCATTAGTTTGTGTCCCTTTCCCCCCCCCCCCCCAAAAAAGACAAGCAAAACAAACACCTTGTAACAAATAGACGTAATCAAGCAAATAGATTTCCACACAGGCCATAACAGATGTCTCATTCTTCATAATGTGTAATAAATGATCTTTAAAAACATTTCTGCTTCAGTGTTCCAGATCGAGTGATTTAAGGACCTACTTTTTCTTTTTTCTTTTTCCTTTTTGGCTAGGCAATGGGGTTAAGTGACCTGCCCAGGGTCACACAGCTAGTAAGTGTTATGTGTCTGAGACTGGATTTGAACTCGGATTCTCCTGAATCCTGGGTCGGTGCTCTATCCACTGCCCCACCTAGCTGTCCCCAAGGACCTACTTTTTCAACAGAAAAGTGCACTAAGATTTTTGGGACGCCCTATACAATACTTATACACACACATTCATAGGATTATAGATTTAGGAAGGGACCTTGGAAGCCATGAAATCCAACACCATCATTTTACAGGTGAGGAAACTGAGTCATAGAGAGGTGAAAAGGCTTGTCCAGGGTCACACAGCAAATCTAAGGAAAGTTTTGAACTCAGGTCTTTCTGACTCCCAGCTCTTAATGGCTTGTTGAATTCCCTCCTTCAAATAGGAGCCTCTTCAGGGAGCCCATTCTTTGCGACATTTTTTGTTTGGCAGAATGCCTCCAATATAAATAGATAGTAAGGGCTTAGTACGTGCTTGTTGACTGACTGGTTTGGCCTCAAAGCCAAGATGACCCTGGTTCAAATCCTTTCTCTGACACTTAAAGAAATGCCAGCCTACTGAGGTAGAGGAAGTTTCGTCTTCTGAGACTTCAATCGAAAAAAAATCACACATCTAGGCTCTATCTTCTGTTCCTGATTAACAGCAGAATTCAAGCTCAGTGATGACCACAAACTGTTTCATTTTTGTCTTTGCATCTCTGAGACCTAGTGCATATCTTGGCATGTAGTAGGTGCGTAATAAATACTGGTTAATTGCTTGATGTTTTCTGTACTGTCATTCTCCCTTTACACCCTCATAGCATTTAGGTAGTCTGCCGATCAGAATTCCTTACTTGCTCTGCAGAAAATCTTCGATGTGTCCAGTTGTAGGCAGCACACTTTTTCTTTTTTAAGGCAATTGGGGTTAAGTGACTTGCCTAGGGTCACACAGTTAGTAAGTGTCAAGTTTTTGGTCTGAGGCCTGATTTGAATTCAGGTCCTCCTTCTATCTAAGCAGCACACTTTTAAGAGATGCTAGAGGAATTCTGGGAAGTCAGCCAGGAGAGATCCATTCTAATACTAATAGGACTATAGATTTAGGGTTTTGAGGAGCCCTACTGGAGATCATCCCCTTAATTTCACAGATAAGGAAAGTCATCCCTAGAGTGATTCTGTGAGGAGTCTTGAGACCAATTCTGTTCAACAAACGTCTGTTAAACACCTACTGTGTACTGTGCAGTATGATAGGCATTGGAGGTACAGAGGAAAAAAGTAAACACAGTCCCTGCTCTTAAAGTAGTTTCATTTTCATATAAGGAACAATTGTGGAAACTGGGAATGTTTAGAATGGAGAAAACCAGCATGTAGTGTGTTTGTGGGAGAGAATGAGAAACAGAGTCAGAGAGCTCGAAGTTACAAGTGGTGTGACTCTTCAATAAAGCTCAAGATAAAATAAGACTTATTATTTGAAGAGTTGCTTTTTATAAGGATTAAACGCATTTTGCCCAGTCACAGAGATTCCAAGATCTAGGACTTTTGGGTGGAAGTTACAAGGATGAAGCTTTTAACTCCTGGTTCGGAAGAACATTTTTTCCAATTAGAGCTGGCCAACATTGGTATAGGTTTGTCCCACAGCCATACACTGTGTGTGATGGGAAAACACCCAGGTTTTGGAGCTGAGAAACCTGGGTTCAAGTCCTGCCTGCCACTTACCAGTTGTATGACCTGAGGCAAGTCCTCTGACCTCTCTGAGACTCAGTTTTCTCATTCATACAATAGAGCCAATAATACTTGCATTATTTTACCTTGCAGTCGTGAGGAAAGTGTTTTGTGAATTTTATGAGCACCTTATAAATTTATGCTATAATTGTTATTCATTTAGATTGATCGGGAATATTAGGTACCTCCCACCCTTAACTAGACAGCTGAGGTCCATTCAGATCCAATGATTTCTTTTATGTTTTCGTGCCCATTTTCTCATGTGTTTTTTTGTTTTTGTTGTTTAGGCAATGGGGTTAAGTGACTTGCCCAGGGTCACACAGCTAGTAAGTGTTATGTGTCTGAGTCCGGATTTGAACTCAGGTCCTCCTGACTTCAGGGCCGGTGCTCTACCCACTGCACCACCTAGCTGCCCCATTTTCTCATGTATGTGTTGTTTCCCCAGTTACCTTGTAAGCATTTTAAAGTCGTGATCCCAGATTAGAGCTGGAATGAGCTGCAGCGATCATTTAGTTCAACCCTTCTGTGAGGAAACTGATTCTTAGAGAGATACAGTAACACTCAGGGCAACAGAGGAAGTAAGTTGAAACCAGTTCTATTTCTTATCTCTCTGTAACACCTAGAAGACCATTTCCTCCTCTGCCCTTCCCCCAACCTCCCCCTCCCCTCATGCATGCACTCTCCAGTTGTCTCTGTCTTTCTCTTTCTCCCTCTCCCTTCCATCCCTCCTTCTTTCTTCCCTTTCTCCTTCTCTCTCTCTCTCTCACCCTTCTCTCTTTTTTCTCTTCCTTCCTCCTTTTTCTCCTTTTTTACTTTCCCCCTTCCCCCCTCCCCTTCTCTCTCTTCCTCCTCTTTCCCTCTCTCTCTCTCCTTTCCTCTGTCCTCCTCTTCTCCATCCTCCCCTTCTCTCTCTCTCTCTCTCTCTCTCTCTCTCTCTCTATCACACACACACCCACCCACCTATGCTCAGTCTCCACATATTATCTAATAGCCCTGAAGCCATTAATACCTACATTTTCTTTTCCCTTACCTTCCTATGCAAGGGACCTCACTATTGGCAAAGTCCACAGTCATCTTCCTTTCCATAGAGCTATGTGCAGCACTCAATGAAGATGTCAATAGTGATGCCTGTGGCCTTTACTTGCCTTTTTTTTTGGGCTGCCAAAATGGAGCTACCCTTTTCTAAGGCACTGT